CCCATCTTGGATTAATTACTTTTACATTCTTAAGAGTCTGGTTTTTCTGGAGACTATGGATCTTTAATTAGCCAAAACTATTGTTTATCTGTTCTGTGTTAATGACCTAAGCCAAGGCTGCCCTCAGGGCAGATAGTGATGTGTTCTTCAGTCCGGACCGTTGTCTGTGTAACAGGTGATCGCTCTGGGCTGAGTCAGGACCACTAAACTCATTTTACTAATTAAATTGTACGAGTCTTTCAACCTTTGAACACTGATGCGGAAGCATACATTTTACCCATGAGCCCTTCCTGTTCTGTCATTCCTCAAATAATTTCTCTGTTCTTTCCAAACAGGCTGCTTCCTTTTCCCATTTCTCCTGCACCACCTAGTGACCAGTCAGGAACGTGACTGTCTGTTTTTGGTCATGTCAGCGCATATGTAGGCACTTGCAATGACTGTGCTACATCCTGGGTCCACATGAACTTGCATAGCACTTTCTAAGATCATAGTTATCAATATTTTATTAAAATACTTTTGAAAAACATGTTTTTAATTTCAAGACAATGATTGATCACTTATAATTATGCAATACTTCGATCAAATACACCGGAGTATGTTGGGTGGAAACAATATTGCACTGTGGGCAACGTATCAGTATAAAGGGGGCCTAAGAAGATAGGAACAATATTAAGGGATGTTGCCAACGCTCAAGATTTTTTTATCACAGGTCTTGAGATATCGAGTGTTTTTCTTTAAAGCTCCAGATTCTAGACTCAAGTGATTGTACAAAAATCTCAGTGTTTTTGTAAGTTTGTAGCCCACATGACTGCAGAGAGATGTTATTCAAGTGTCTCTTAAAAGTCAGAAGGAAATTAAAAGATTAAAAGAACACCACATGTGTGTCTATATATATAATGTTTTTAAAACATTCTTCATGATTTTTTGAGGCTTAACTCATTTAAATATGAGGGTTTGGCAATAGTGGATCTTAAATATGCAAAAGGCTATAAAATGGATGTAATAGGACGTGATTTTAATATTGAGGAGAGGCGATATGGGTCAAACTCTGCCTTCAGGTATGCACATGGGAAGGCATCATGAGGCACTATATTTGTAAGTCCCCCCTGGAAGAATGAAAGTAAGACAATAGGGCTAGATGGCAGGAGCTGACACTATTGAAAGTACCTTTCCTAACTTTCAGATATATTTTTCTCACTTTGTCAACAACTCCTTGGCTGCTTGTAAATGAAACCGCTCCCTTTTTTTTAAAACTGATTCCATTTTTCTCCATTTCACAAACATACAGGCCTGTTGCTATGGGGTTTGGTGTTGGGTTGCTCCTGTCATCCAATTTAGCAAGCTAGCATTAATTTGTTTTAATAAAAATAGTGAAATCCTTAAAATAAAATAATCACATGAAGAATTATACAGGTTTTACAAAAGAGAAGTAGGTCAAATATTGTGCCAATCAACCGTGAGACTGTCCCTTTAAGCAAAAGAAATGGGGAATACACTAAAACCATCATTTGATTGCCTGTATATGCTGCTTTGGTATGAGCTGGCAAAGCCTGTGTGACTGAGTATTGGGGGGAAATGTCAATTTTAGTATTTTAATCAGAATATCCTTTATATTTGGGTTGGGGGTGGGGATGTGGAGGTATAAAGAATTCCTATTCTACCCTTGCAAACATTGACTTTTTATTTTAACAAGCAAGCTACATTATTATATTCAAGGGGCATTGTAGCAATGCAGCATAGGAACACAGTTTAAATCAATCATTAAACTGCAGCAGAAAGAGGCTGTGAGAGATAGTGTGGATGGTCCATCTGCAAAATCTGTGTTCCTGTATTACAAGGAGGAGGGGTTAGAGGGCGGGGGGAGAGAAAAAGCAGCTGCTTAGCTGTTCTCTGAGAGGGAGAGACTGACTGTTGACACCATCTGTAGTTGTCCTTTGTGCTTGCTTCTTTATCTGTTCATTATAGTGATGCTGAATTTCTCTTGCTTTGAGTTTAAATGAGTTGAGATGTGTCTAATACTGTCAGCACAAAAAGCTGAAACTACGTACACTAAAGATGAATAGTGTAATCTGTAAATTCATTTTCATCTTACTTGAATAGTCACAGGAAGTAATGTTCTTCAGAATCCAGCTGTACCAGATGCTTGTATGGCGCATTTCATCTCACCATACTAAGTGCAAACCAGTATAAGAGGGGGGTGGGGGGAGGTTGCAACATTTGAGACAGACAATGGTAAAATCGCTGAGGGTATGTCTACACTGCAATGTAAGCCCAGGATTTGAACTCAGGCTGAAGCCTAACCCCTCTTCAGTCTACACAAAAATTGCACTAACCCCGGGCTCGGACCCCAGGTCCAAGGATCCCACTGTGTTGGAAGGTCCAAACCTGAGTCAAACCGGGACCCAGAGTTCAAGACCAATTGCTTTGCTGTGAAGACACAACCCCACTGGACTCATGATCTGGGAGTCCACCAAAAGAACCCCACCGGCCGACTTTCTTTGTCCTCTGGACAGTAAAGTTTTCCCACACTGCATCACAAACACAAGGCTAGAGTGACCACATTTTGGGAGAGTGCTTGGGAGTCTGGGATACAGGTGGTTGGACTCAGGCCTGCCTAATGCAATGTAGATCCTCAGGCTGGAACCCAAGGGTTCTGCAGTTCCTAATCTAGGGTTACAAATGAATGTAGATGCTCAAGTCCTAGGTTAACAAATCCAGGATCGGCTACCTCAAGTTCCAATTACCCAGGGCTTACATTGCAGTGTAGGAATACCCAGGGTGTTTTGTCTCCCTCGCTTTGATGGAGATAACGGTGATTTAACATTTTTAGAGACAGTTCTGAACTGGTATGTTTTCATTCAGTGCATGAACACAAATAATTATTATACATGGTACATGACTGGGAAATGTCCCAGGAGAGGAAAGGTTAAACCTCTCAATAATGAGCAGTGAGATGGGGATGAGTACATTTGTTATGTTTTATACCTTCAAATTCTTACTTTCCAAAAATGTGAGTCATTTCCTGATAATTTGTAGCATGTAACTGTCTCCCTTATCTCAAAAGCCTGGCCATTATCTGACATTACATTTCACCTTTACAAATGTGTGCATTTGATATTAGTAATAATAATAATAACTCATTAATATCTTACCTTCCCTCCCTACTCAATGCGATGTTATCTCATTTCCATTGCAAATTATTTGGCCAGGAGTTAACTCTGTTTTTTTCAAAGCAGGTACTGGCTTTTGTTTGCAGATTCATGTCCTCAAATCCATTAGGCGGCTGCTTTTTATCTTTATTTGTCAAGCGCTTATATGTGTGCACTAGGAACAGCTTCCTCCTCACATCAAAGCCACATTTAAGATGGACGGTTTCCATTCGACACCATAGTAATTACAATCAGCTGTGGAAGTGCTCAGCATCCGCTATTATTCTGACATGGCTGCATTTACAGCTCGGCAGAACACTTTGTTCATTTTTCTCAGAACTCAAGTAGCCATAGTGTGCATGAGGAAACTATGTTAGGCAGTGATTTTTATCTGCAGGCAGCATGAAAAAGGGGTGAGGGGAAGACCCTTTGTCACTGGCACATAAGTAATAACATGCCAGGGATAAAAGGTGAGTATAATTTGATCAAATGCTTGTTGACAGATTCCTTGGCTAATAGAGAAGCAGCTTAGAATGACACTCATTGCTAGAACATTTTGGCACGGAGCTCAGTGAGAATGCTTTCTATAGGCTAGATGTGATGCTAACAATTTCAGAGAAACCATATTTAGTTATATAAAGAAGCAGTATCCCCTTCTTGTCACAGAAGGACTCTAAAGCACCTCCCGAAGTACCATTATCGACCTTGCATGTGGTAAATACAAAGAAATTACTACATCCTCAATACCCTGATGTGTGTTTACTTTTCTTTAATAGTATTGCTTTTATTAAATATTTCTCTGGTATGGCCAGTTGATTTTTTTTTTCATTTCTAGTGTTTTTATATAGAGACATATTTTTCTGTGTTCCTGTCAAAATCTGGTAATCTTACACTTTTCACAGTGTAACTTTCCAATTACATCCTTTGAAATGGTTCCGATAATTATCAATTACACCACTTTTGAGTGTATAATGGAAGAAGGTGAGGTCCCTTTTAAATGACCTGTCCCATTATTTCTGTGGCAGTTGCGGATGTTTAGTGCCTCTGAAAATCAGGCCACTTATTTAGGTGCCTAAGGCCCCAATTCATCCAAGTGTGTAAGCATGTGCTGATGTGTGAATATATGAGTAGTCCCATTGACCAAAGGAATATTTACGTACTTAAAGTTTGGCATATGTTTAGGTGTTTTGCTGAATTAGGCCCCAAATATGGATCCAGGTGTCTAACTTTAAGCACCAAAGTTTGAATATCTTGGCCGTTCTGTTTTGTAAGCTCATTCACAGTTGGGGTAGGTAATATAAAGTTGCAAATTAAATCCAACACCTGATTTTTCTTTTGTAATCTGTGTCTTCTGCAATAAAATTTAATACAAAGGAATTGCAATATTGTCAATTGTATGGAATGATACTATTTTAGTTATGCAAGAAGGCAAAGAACAGCCATCACAATAAATCATATATAAGACTGGCTAAATTAAGAAATGCTGATTGTGACGAGTATCTCTAATAAACTAAATCCAAACTAGAATAACTAGCAGAACTAAAACTATCATCTGCTGCCTATTAACATTAGCGATGGAAGGGGATGTGGGAGACTAGAAAGAAATCTTGATTTCTCTTGCTCCCCTCTCTTCTTATCTACCAATGATCTCGTCCCTGTTTCTTCCCATAGTTTTCCCCCTTTTAGTGTAACAACATATTCTTCATATGATGGTAGTGGCTCATGGGGAAAGTTTTCAGAACTGGGGTGTGTCCATTCAGTTAGTGACTAATGTGGTTAAAATATCCTTTATCTCAACACAGCTACACTCTTCATTGAGTTGTACACCTTCATTTTGTTCTGTTTGCACAGCGCTGCTTTCGTCGTGGTGTGAGGAGTTGGGACGGCTCTTGCTGCTTCGTCACCAGAAAAGCCGGCAAAACGATCCTCCCGGGAAGCTACCCATGCAACCCCCCATGAACTCTATGAGCTCCATGAAACCCACGCTCTCTCATAGGTGAGTCACACAAGCCTGCTATTACGAGAGTAGATGCATATACAAATTCATGACAGTGAGAAATCTTTTAACTGAAATGCTTATTGCCATGACAAATTGGGAGGAACTAGTTGAGAATTTGCAAGTGGAAGGCAGCTTGCGTGAAAGTGATAATGAGATGGTAGAGTTCATGATTCTAACAACTGGTAGGAGGGAAAATAGCAGAATAAAGATAATGGATTTCAAGAAGGCAGACTTGGCCAAATTCAGGGAGTTGGTAGGAAAGATCCCATGGGAAGCAAGTCGAAGCGGAAAAACAGTTTGAGAGAGTTGGCAGTTTTTCAAAGAGATATTATTAAGGACACAAAAGCACACTATCCCACTGCATAGGAAAAATAGGAAGTATGGCTTAACCAGGAGAGCTTCAATTATTTGAAACTCAAAGAAGAGTTCTACAAAAAGTGGAAACTAGGTCAGATTACAAAGAACAAAAGCATGCAGGGATAAAATTAGAAAGGGCAAGGCACCAAATGAGATTAAACTAGCTAGAGACATAAAGGATAACAAAGGGTAAGAAAACATTCTACAAATACGTTAGAAGCAGGAGGAAGACCAAGGACAAGGTAGGCCCATTACTCAATGAGCGGGGAAAGACAATAATATAAAATATGGAAATTGCGGAAGTGCTAAATGCCGTTCTTGTTTCAGTTTTAACCAAAGAGGTTAGTAGAGATCAGACGTCTAACATAGTGAACACTAGGGAAAATGAAGTCACATCTGAGTCTAAAACAAGGAAAGAAGAAGCTAAAAATTATTTAGACAAGTTAGCTGTCTTTGAGTTGCTAGGGCCTGATAAAATCCTAGAATACTCAAGGAGCTGACTCGGGAGATATCTGAGCCATTAGCAATTATCTTTGAAAATTCTTGGAAGGGTGGAGAGATTCCAGGGGACTGTAAGAGGGAAAATATAGTGCCAATCTATATAAAGAGGAATAAGGACAACCCAGGGAATTACAGACCGGTCAGTTTACCTTCAGTCCCCGGAAAGATAATGGAGCAAATAAGCAAGCAAGCAAGATGTTAAGTAGCAGTCAACATGGATTTGTCAAGAACAAATCATGTCAAACCAAGCTAACAGCTTTCTTTGACAGGGTAACAAGCTTTGTGGATGGGGGAAAGCGGTAGATGTGGTATATCTTGATTTTAGTAAAGCTTTTGATACTGTCTTGCATGACCTTCTCATAAACAAACTAGGAAAATGCAACCTAGATGGAGCTACTATAAGGTGGGTGCCTAACTGGTTGTAAAACCATTCCCAGAGAGTAGTTATCAGTGGTTCACGGTCAACCTGGAAGGGCATATTGAGTGGGTTCCCGCAGGGATCAGTCCTGGGTCCAGTTCTGTTCAATAACTTCATAAATGACTTCGATAATAGCAGAGAAAGTACACTTACAAAGTTTGTGGATGATACCAAGCTGAGAGGGGTTGCAAGTAGTTTCGAGAATAGGATTAAAATTCAAAATGATCGGGACAAATTGAAGAAATGGTCTGAAGTAAATAGGATTAACTTCAATCAGGACATATGCAAAGTGCTACACTTAAGAAGGAACAATCAATTGCACACATACAAAATGGGAAATGACTGCCCAGGAGGGAGTACTGTGGAAAGGGATCTGGGAGTTATAGTGGATCACAAGCTAAATATGAGTCAGCAGTTTAACTCTGTTGCAAAAAAGGCAACAATCATACTGTGATTTATCAGCAGGAGTGTTGTAAGCAAGACACGAGAAGTAATTCAGCTCTACTCCGCACTGAAAAGGCCTCAACTGGAGTATTGTGTCCAGTTCTGGGCCACATTTCAGGAAAGATGTGGACAAATTGGAGAAAGTCCAGAAGAGAGCAACAACAATGATTAAAGGTCTAGAAAACATAACCTCTGAGGGAAGATTGAAAAACTTGGGTTTGTTTAGTCTGGAGAGGAGAAGACTGAGGGAGGACGTAACAGTTTTCAAATACATAAAAGGTTGCCACAAGGAGGAGGGTAGAAAGTTGTTCTCCTTAATGTCTGAGGATAGGACAAAAAGCAATGGGTTTAAATTTTTATCACGGTAGCTAAGCACAGGAAAAAATTTCCTCGCAGATTGTGGAATCTCCATCATTGGGGGTTTTTAAGAACAGATTAGACAAACACCTCTTGAGAATGGTCTAGTTGTTACATAGTCCTGCCTTGAGCGCTGGGGGCTGGACTAGATCACCTATTGAGGTCCATTCCAGTCCTCCACTTTTATGATTCTGTAACGAAGAATAGCTAGATTGGTTCATTCACCGATTGGAACTAGAGATACCAGCACATACTAAATAAGCTAAATTTTCAGTATTGCTAACTACCCAGTACGTGGTGATGTGACTTTTCTATTTCCCAACTTGAGTTCAGGTTTAGCAAAGCAGTGTGTAATTGGCCCCCTGAGACATCAAGCCTTAAGCCCCACCCTAAGGAGGCAAACTGTACTGACATTAATTAAAACAACACTGCTGTGCATCACTCATCAGATTTTTTCCCATGGAGTATTTAAAGAACACTGCGTTTTCTCTGGCCTGCAAACATTTTATTGAAGGTTTTTTTCTTTTAGGTTCCATGGTGATGGTTACATTAGAAATATCTGTATAGATTAGAGTAGATTGGATGTTGCATCAAGATGGTAATATTTATGGGGTTAATCAGGGAAATGAGAACCTTCACTGCACTCTAATGTCATCAGTCAGGAGAAATTCACAAAACAGTTATCACATTTGAATGGAAAAGTGAGCCCCAAGGATTGTCTGAGAAGAGACTAAAGCATGCAGGATTTGAAACCTCTAGTTCCCAGCTAGCTGGGGGAAGAGCAGTGGCATTACTTCAGGTCAATGAGAGATTGGGAGAATTTGTGTAGGCTACATCAGACATTGGAACTGCATCCCTTATGTTTCTGTTTTTATTTATTTTTAACATCACAAACCAAAAATAATTTCTACAGCTGCTCTGTTTATAACCAAAATGTAGGAAACTTTTATTATTAAACCATTATAACACTGTACGCTAAGTCAAATTGCCATTTAAATTCTTCATGTCCTTACACAGTGGTAAGACCTAAACAATACATTCTGAACTTTGGGTCAGACTATGATCTGTTTTGCGAGAGTACCTGGAGTTGACTCTACTTTATGCCAGTGTGTTTGGCTCTGTATTTTGAGGTTTGGGTTTCTGTGTTTTTCTGTTGTTTTTGTCTTGGTATATTTCTGTTTCATTAATGGAAAAAATATGGAAGCTACACATCATTTACTAAAAGTAATACCCCTTTTTCTAATATAACTCATTTTAGTGATATCTGTGGCTCAACTGCTTCTTTTCTAATTTAGCTTATGAAATGATCTGGATCAAATACTTAATTACATTAGTTTGATGAAAACAAATTTCTTACTAGAAAACCCCTTTGATTCTAAAAATAATAGTTGATGTGCTGCTGTTTGGACTTTAAATAAACTACTGTCCTCTTTTCATCATCCAAGATGAAATCAGATGGGGAGTCTGCATAGTAACACACTCTTATTGGGACCCAGAGGGGCTAGTTTGTAGAGCTAGGGAAAGACAGAATGGTCCAGTGTTTAGGGCACTGGTATGGGACTTGGGACACCTGAGTTCAATTCCCTGTTCCACAACAGACTTGTTGTGTGACCTTGGGCAAGTCACTTCTTTTTTCTGTGACTCAGTTCCCCATCTGTAAAATGAAGATAATAGCACTGCCCTACCTCCCAAGAGTGTTGTGAGGATAAATACATTAAATCTTGTGACGATCTCAAATAGTACCGTAATGGAGACCATATGAGTAGCTAAGAGAGATAGCAAAGGCAATCAACAATAATCTTTTATGGCTGTTGTCTAGTGAACCAGTCCATTATGTATCAGTGTAAATAATATATCCTGTCAAAGCCTAGATTTAGATTCTAAGATTGTTAGGTCTTGAAATACCTGACTGACTTGTGTCACAGTTCCTGAGTTAATTGCACCTCTGACCCCTTTGTGGCCTCTCTGAGGGCATCCCACTTAAGGCTTAGGCCTCTAGCTGTCACCTTTCTCAGGCAAAGTCCTGCAACACTCTCCCTGTAGACCACGGAGTTAGTCTATAATTCCTTCTGCAATTCACAGTGAACACCTTAGCAAGTCTGACTTCAGTTCAGCATCTCCTGTCCTGTTCTCTCAGAGGCAATGACCAGGGTTATCCGGTGCTTTATAAAGCAACTATTATTTGTTCCTAACATAAGCATTACAGAGAAAACTTATCTTAAAACCCGTAAACAGCTTACCGGGCAGACATCCCTCTCCCATCTGGAGACCCTGGCAGGGTTCAGAGTCCTTCAGACCCCTTCCACAGGGTCTGTCCCTGTTGGTCTCAGCATGTCCGTTCTTATATTGGGTGAGAGTGACCACCCTCTCTATGTCAGGCTGGTGACTTTACACAGTTCTCCTTTCTTTGTGTGTCAGGTCTTTTAAACCAGATTACACTAGTATATGCAGTTTCCCCCAGGGGTTGAGGTTACTGTCCTAGGAATTTGTATCCCCCCCCCCCCCCCGACAGTGATTTTTTGTTCCCCTAGGAAAGTCCTGTAACTCCTCCATGGGGCTAGAATAAAATCCCTAGCCCATACTGATACATCTAATGTTTATAAAATCAATTGTAGTCTTCGGGTATTCCATGTACCCATAATAGGTCACTGCCTGCGCTAACGCATACCCTCCAGTTATGTTCACAAGTGGGCATATCCAATTTCAGTTGAACCCCACATTTCTCTCTCTTTCTCCTGGAATACAGCCTTGAAAAAAAAAAAGCTTTAATTTGGCTGGTACTATGAGGTAAATCCCAAATCAGAGTAGTCCAATGCTGTGATGTCCCTCTGGAAACAACACTTCTGTGGCATATCTTCTCGTACTAGTGCAATTTAACAAAATGGCACGCAGCAGTCTCTGAGGCCCGTTGGGTATTTGT